GCCCCCTGCCTTGGAAGACCCTTTGTCCAGGGGTGGACACACACACACTATGCTGCAATCGGCGCTCTGTACCCCTTGCGTGAAACGATTTTTTGTGCAACAGCTTTGTACACATAACGCCGATATCGGCGCTCCGGAAGATTACTAGTCACTTAAAGAGCGTTAGACTGACAAAGAAAACAAAACAAAAGCACACGAAGAGGGCAAGAAAGAAAGATAGGTATAGTGACGAGGCCCACTTATAGTTAAATGAGAATAGTTAGCGAGCGGGACTTTTGTCTTGAACCGCCCGGGTAGCTAGGAGTAGGACAGGAGAAACAGAAGGAAAGGCACCAACACACAAGTGTGTTGAGTGCAATTTCCTTCTGTTACCCTAAATAGCGGGTGGGATAGCAACAGAGGCCTGGGGCAGGGAGGGGCCGAAGGCATTGCCATCAGTGGCATTCAAGTAAAGCCGATTTGGGCCGGCGCAACCCATTGTCTGAAAGGCACCTAAAGCCTAAAGAAATGCCTCAAGAAACGAAAAGCAACAGAAAGAGAGAAGGAACTCAAGAGCATGACAAGCGCATGCAACTGAAAAGCAGCCTGTGGTTGCCTAGCCGTGGAAACTGTACAGGTGAATACTTAGACGCATGTGCAAATCCTGACTGGATGGTAATCTCAGTGAGCCCTGCGGCAAAAAGATCAGTGGTATCAAGCAGAACGGCGGATCAGGGGAAATCAAAAGAAGTTCAAGAACTCAAACGGTGCATTCAGGGAGGGTCCCCCAGGATCTGGGTCTGTGCACATGCAGCCCCCCTCGACGGGGACCACACCACAGCCCTCAGTGGGACTCTGTGGCGATACACACTTAGATGGTTGCTCGCCAGAGCTAGGATCAGAACAGAAAGAAGCACAAACCGAAAGGTGGCGGAGTCGGCGAACTTGTAGATATTGAACAAGGCTTGGAAATGCATTAGCCGTTTACTGCAAAACACCGAAGTAGACAGCTTGTTCAACAGTTCAAAAGTTGGTCGCAGGTACGTCACTGGACGTCTCCAGTGATATCAGAATCGCCACAGAAGCCTCTTCGTTGGACTGTCACTTCTGACAGTTCCCCTGCCTCTTTTTGCTCGCGCTGTTTTAATTTTAGTTTGGTTCCTAGTAGCAAGGCCAGGTGCTACTAGTAGCATCCAGCCTTCTAATGAAATCTACGGCAGGCATACTTACCAGGCACAAACCTTGGAAACAGGTGTTAACACACACAAAAAGCAAGAAAAAGCCTCGCCGGGTCCCAGGATCCGATAGTGGCCATATCCACAATGTGTTTGTTTAGTTGACTTTGAGAGTTCTCCCAAAACTGCTTTTCTCTTTTTCGAAATGTGTTCTAAGTGTAGTTTCGAGTTTTAAGATGCTTTGGTCTTCCCATTCAGCCTTGCAAAACTGATGCCGATCGAACCACAAACGTGCCCTTGGTAGATCCAGCTACCCCTTTTGGAAACGCATCCTGACTCCTGACCATGATTTTCTGACACCGACATGGTGACAAGTCGCAAGATAGATGAAAAGAACAGGACCAACATGGACCAACTTTGGAAAAGCCCGCATCAAATCAGGTCCATGGTCTGGGGCGAGACTTGGTCACCACAGCGGCTTCGGCGGCTTTCGGCGGCTTTGGCCCGGCCTCCACGGCCTCCACTTCAGAACGACTCTTGGAAGCCGCCCAAAACACCTTCGTTTTCGGGACCGGGAAAAATTGGGGGGTACCTGGATCGTTCGTGTAACCGTTCGTACCTTGGAAAATGGGACATGACCCGGAACAGGTATACGACTGTACCCATTTTCCGAGGTATGAGGTATGAGACGTCCAGGCAGTTGGAGCAAACATCACCATCACCCGCCAAGGAAAAGCCAGTTGCATCTCCCCCTCTCTCCTAGTGCTTCTGGTGCATCATGGCTGGTCGACAAAGGCGTACCACTCCTGGCGGCTTAAGGTGTCGAAGAAAGAGCGGTGAACCAAGCAGGTGTTCCTGTAGCTCGTGACGAAGGTGACTAGCGGTATTGATTAATTGAATGTTATCATAATATATAGCAAAGTAGGTTTTCTTAGAGTCCGGTTGATTGACATGGCCAAAAGCCCGACTTTTAAAGATGTACTGCCAAGAGAGGTTAAGTGACCTTATAGCACACTACAGGGGTATACTACCTATGGGATAGTCTATAGGGTTCTTCAACCTCTGCTGGTGGAAACATGTGGAACCCGTTTCTATCTATTGTCGTCAAAACATTCAGAACGCACGCTCCCATGCGGTCACAAATCAAGAAGCGCAGGAAGTCAAGTCACAAACATTGAAGCATTTTGGGTATGTTGTTTTTTGAGTCTCCTATCATTTTACAGGGAGCACTGAGCACTTCCACGAAATGAACGGGACATGCAAAAGGAGCTGCCGTTACCCTATAGATGTGAGCGTGTCTCATATGTCTCCCTGGTCAATCACCAGCCAAACCATGCCCAAACTTTGCCTCCAGCCCTTTTGATCGTACAATCATCGCAAATAGATCTATAGATGTGGGTTAAAACCCGGGGGGACCTTAGTGGGTCAACCATAGAACATGAACGGAATAGACGGCTTTGGGGACGTCAACCTACGTCACCTCGCTGGACGAGATCCAGGATCGAACATGCGGTTCGGACACCCAAATGGGTCGGATCTGTACTTCCAAAATCACTCTTCCCTATATTATAGTTATAAGTATTGGCACTTCCCTATAGTACTTCCGAATAGTTAGTCCCTAGGGATTCAAGTAGCTTGTCAAAAGGTACGACTGGACCCTCAAAACATACATAACAGTGCCTCCTTCCTCACCGTACCTGAGGAGAAGGTACGAAAACGGATCCCTAGGGAGTTGGTAGTAACTGGTATTTTGGTACAGGTCTTCTCTGCAACTGTCAAAGCAGCACTCTTCAGACCTCTTGCGGCACAGACTGTTCGGGTGGGCCCGTGCCTGACAGACTGCGCCAGTGCTACTCGCGAGACGCGAGGGCTCTGGCTTCCACCGAAGAGTTTGTTGCTCGCCTGGCGAGCGCAAAGAGGTCAGTCAAGGTCTGTCAACTGCGAGTCGTGGAACCCCCCCCAAAAGTGTATTGATGGAGCAGAAAACTATTGAACATGTCGATAATTGTTCAGCTGTGTCGTGTGTTGGTTCCGTGGGGGGGTTCTCGAAACTGAGGGACGGAATCCTGGCACATAGCCCAACCTCTGTGGATGTGTTTCCCCGATTCGAGATCAAATCGCTACAAGTCAAAGGCCTCATGTTACTGGAGTTGGTGATACAAAACATATTAAGGAGGTAGAAGACCAGGTTTTCTGGGTCTTTGGATTTGCAGGGAATGGCATGATCAATTCTCGCGTCTATTTCCGACACTTCGATCACTGAACCTGCGGGCCTCTCGTGCCAAATGACGCTGGACATCCTCCTGCCAGTGGAACTTGGCCCAAAACGTGTCTGCTCGAATTGGGGATGGGCCTGGTTGACCCTCTTGGAAAGTGGGAAGACTGACATGTTAGCCGGATCGTCATGTAGTACAACCAAGGCTGCCCTCCAATATGTTTTGAAACCCCAGGACTGGCACTTGTGGGCTTTGCGAAATGGTCCGAGTCCACAAATGGACTTTGCCATCTTATTACTTTCCTTGGTAGGCTTGCTCGAACTCAACGTATTCCAAGCAATTGCCCTTTTAGCCAATTTGACCCATGAACCAAAAAAGGTTTTGGGGTTGGTTGGGGAACCTGCCTGCCGCGTTTGGCTGCAATGTTTTACAAATGAATGAGTCCCAAATCTGCAAACTATATTTACCGCAGTTCTAGCAATGCAAGCTGATTTATCATGAGTGAGGAGAGCAACACCGTGCAGCTGAAAATCATGTTTCAATAGATCCCAACAAAGGTAAAAAAATCATTGAGACCGTCCAACTTTTTGCCCGGATCAGCTTCTATGAAGAAAAGGCAGTGTGAAACGTCCACATCAACAACATCTTCTTGTACGAGTGTTTTTTTCCTGTATCAAAGCTTCCAACTGAACTTTGCGCCATTCCTCACCAGGATAGAAGTCAGTGACTGCCAAGTCTGCCAATGTGAATTCAAACCCACCAGTGTGTCTCTGACGCCCCCTGATGCAACTTGAAATATTCCAGGAATTCAACCCAAGCGTGCGGGCAGCGCTGGCCATGGAAGGATGCCACTGCCATTCATCCAGGGTCTTCCAAATTCTGCTCAGCACAGCTTTACCATCTGACCTTGAAGTTGTATTTGCAAACCGGTGATGATTGTTTTCCGATGGAGTGACATACTCCAAATTGTCCACTGCATTGTTTCCCTTGTCCATGTCTTTGTGGTTGATATGGCTACGCTTATGGCTCCTGGGTGGTCCTAAAAATGCAAATGCCACCAGGCGGTGAACTAGTTCAGAGCGCATGTAAGCTCTCAATGTAATGGTGGTTACACGGTAGCCTTGCTTACGCAACGATCCCCGTGAAACTGTGCCCCTTTGAGACGTGATCCTGCCAGCTGAGCTCACCATCCTTCCAAATACCTCACCGCCCGAAACGGGATCATACATCTGGCGCCATTCCTCACCATCTATTGTCTTTGTGTGTTCACAAACCAGTTGAAACTCGTAACCTTTGACTGGTCTGTCCTGACTGCAGGCCCTCAAAACGGAACTCCGGCACATACTAAGCTGCTTTGTTGCATGCGTTATGGATGTGGAGGTGGTCCACCTTTGGGACCCCAATGCTCTCCATCTCACTGGTTGCGAACCGTGAGCTCCTTTGCGAGATCCTGAAGAACTCAGGAAGTATTCATGCATATTCTCACGAGGCGTAACATATTTCAAGTTGTCCAAGCAGTTATTGGACGGATTGCCATCCCGGTGGTGCACTTGCCACACAGAAGTTGCTGGAGGAGGGCCTAGGAAGGTGAAAGCTACCATACGGTGCACTCGAAATTGTTGGCCAAATATGCAGACGACATGATAGCCAGACGAAGCGAGATAACCATACGAGACAACGCCTTGCAAATTGCAAACCCGGCCAAACGAACTCACTTGCCAGCACTTGTCATCGACTGGATTTCTTGTCGGTTGAGTTGACAAACGCCGGAACAAACAATGTAGCCGTCGGATCACAACACAGCCACATCGCCGCTGTGCTGAGAAAGGCATCGTTGCTGTACACCTTGGATTCTCAAGATTCACCAGGGCCGTCAGCGGAATCAAGGACTTAAAAGACCTTCTCGAGCCGGTGTCTGCGCCAAGAAATCGTGTCCTGTGGGCAGTGAGGTGTTTTTTTTTGTTTGCCTTGTTTTATTGAAAATGTTTCGCACATAAAAGAGAAAGGGCATACATACAAGTGGCACAAGGCGATTGTCTATTGCTTTTATATAACTATTGGACAAACAAGCACCTGCGACTGTGTGGGCATGATTTGTTTTCACATAATTTATAATTCATATTGTGATATTAATATTCATCACTAATCATCACTATATGTATACTACAACAAATCAAACAATGCTTTGTGGATGTTTGTGTTCATTTGGCTTGGCATTGTTTTATATACATGTTTATAAGTGTTTATGGGTGTTCCGTTCAGAGTCGGATCAGATCCAATTTCTTTGCTGTACCCCGAACCTCTGGGAGGTTCTCCCGAGGCCCCTCCCGATCAAAGCAACGACGAGTGGAACATCGAGGTTCTCTCTGCAGGTTCTCGTGTGCTCTCTGTGCTCTGTGCCATCCATACCCAGTCCCTGATAAGCTGCTCATGGGTCAACTCCAGCAAATGGAAACGACATACCTTTAAGGTATCCGTCCGAAATCAATCAAAGGACCCATTTCCCCTATATAGTATCAAAAAATGCTGTCAACAGCACTTGATCAAGCCTGTTACTGTCCTTGCTTGGCGCTCCTTTTATTGACTACAGTCAGATCCACTGATGTTGCCCAACATCTTGGGATGTTGCCATGTAAACAGTCTCTTTAGGCTTCCCCACCTTAGCCTTAGACTTCCCCAACTAGGAATGTGGTGAAAACACACAGCTTTCAAATTGGCTGACCTATGCTGACCTGGTTTTGTAGTCTAAAAGTCCTTAGTCAAACAATGTGTTTGTTGCAGTAAAAAACATTAAGACACTGGTTGGCCAGGAATCCCACAAATAAATCCACACACACGCACATACGCACATCCTCACCTCCCCAAGCTGCGATGTTGCTCCACCGAGTCAGGCGCCGTTAGGTGGATTCTTCAAGCTTTGAAGACTTAGACTGACTCCCGATTGCTGGAGCTCGTTTCACCTGCGCAGTTCTGCATGTTTGGACAGTCAATCCCCTCGGTTAAAGCGACTGGGTGAACCAAACGTTTCACCTCCGCCCAAAACTCTCCCATGAAGGGGGTTGGGCAGGTGATCCACATTCTTGTGGGGAGGTTCGCTTTGGATCATTATCCACTGACTGGGAAGGGTTAAAGCTTATCCCCTTCTTCTGGGTTCTTCAAGCTTTGACTCGGATCTCTTAGTCTGACTCCCGAGCCACCCCCGCTGCATGGACGGCTTTTTGTTGACGATGACGCGTGAGGTCCGAGCGTCCGGGTAAAACAAGCCTGAACTCTCAGGCATTTCCAGGTCAAACCCCCTAAACCGCAGAACTTCCACAACTTGCTTCACCTCCCGCCTCATTTGGTTTGGTGTTGACCCACTTTTGTTGGGTGGCTTGGACGGATTGGGGCTGAGGCTGAAATGGTGAGCTGATTGTGCAGAGTGGAGGATCGCTAGATTTCAGCAAAGTCCAGGAAACATGTATCAAACGTTGACTGGGAGGTTTTTCCCAAAGAACATGTTGAACGTTATTGAACTGTAAATTCTCAGCTAGGAATACAAAAAAAAAACTATTCCGGATCCAAAGTTCCACTCTAAGACTCTTGGGTGTTGGCGCCACATGCTGTTTCAAGCGACATATATATATATATATGAACTGCTTATATCTGCTTATATAAGCATGTGTTTTTTGTTTTTGTCCGATTTGCACCAACGGGTGGTTGTTCACTCCGTAAACGACTTCAGCGGAGACCTGGAGTGCACGCTGGTTGAGATCGGAGACTCCGGCGTCGCTGTTCTCGTCCGTGCCGCGGGCATTGAAGGTGCCAGCAGCTCGTGCCGAGACGCCAATAACTAGGTCGAAGTTGGCTATACTGATGTGGCAGCAATGCAGCAAAAGGTGAACATCCAAACATATATGAAAACACACAGCAAATCACATGGATACTTCTGGGCATATGATATGGGTATATGTGTTCTGTAAGTGTTCCTATGGTGTGGAAGTTTTTTCTTTTTGAAGTCTTTTGAGTTTTACACTGTAGGAAACATATAGCCACGCCCATAGAATGATCTTCCTTGCACCCCACCACAAGGACATACAAGGACAACTCAGTACTCCAAAGGACAACGAGTCGGCATTCGAGAGGATTCACAGGGACAGCACCTTTGGGATGTGACCCCCAAAGCCACTTTCCATTCGTGTTCCAGTCCTGATGAAAACCATGAACAAGGAAAACCATGGAAAACCAATGAACAACTTGAATGTGGTTACTGCAAGTGTTCTCCGCACGTAATTCAACCGTTATCCATCGTTATCCTTCAATCTGGGGATGGGTCGTGACCCACCATGCTTGCCCAAGTTATCTGCACAGCCATCTGACGATCTTCCAACAGAGGTTGAGAGACCTCAACTAATAGGACCCTGTAGCGTTACGAAATGGTCGATCAATGTGCTTGATCAACTTACCAACAGAAAAAAAACATGACGGCAAACCGATCTAGTATATTTTTGTACCGAACATAAAACAACAAAAACAACACGGCAAGCATCGGCAAGCTCTTCAACCTCAGTGATCTCTTTCCAGATCGCGGCACGCGACGTGCTGGTCGACCGGTCGACCGGAGACCCTCGGACGTGTCTCTGCTCACTCGGAGACCTGTGGTGAGCCGCGCAGCAAGCGCTTGAGGCGCTCCTTCTCCGGGTTGAAGGGCATGGGAGGCCTGGGGGGCACGCCGCCGCCCTAGGCAGCAGGGGGGATGGGCAGAGGGCAGGCAATTGGATGGGTAGAGTGAGTCAGAGTAAGTGGCCAGTTTTGGAGCCTAACAAATAGTGTATGACTCAAACGAGTTCGACACCTGGCGGGCCCCCCCCCACACCCCCAGAAACCCAAGAGCGTCATGTTCAAGCTCTCTGGCCGCATCGTCAGGTGGTTACAGTCCCCTGGAAGAATCATGGAACCTGGATGGCATGGCCCCGATTTCGGATGCCCATGACATGGTGCTTGACGCTCCACCAAACCATGGCGCCAGATATTCCAGTCCCATGGAGCGGCCGCATTCCATGCGGCGGAATCGGCTTCTAACAGTGGTTACAGTCGTTTGGGACTCGAC